TTCTAAATCTTACAATTTCTACTCTTTAGTTTAATCTCTCAAGCAATCGGACATAGAATCCGTAGGCAAGAGCACACAAAAACACTAGCAAAAAAATCCATAGATCTAAAGCTTCCTCCAGAGACTACCCTACAGATTTAATTATCACTATTTCTGGAGATCTAAAACTCTTGTTCTCAGAGACAAGAAATAAGAAGAAACTCAAGAACATGAAACTTTGACTATATCTGTAACAATCGTACCTTCACCACAACCGAGCTTGACACTCTTGAAAGGAGTCTTGTTGCGCAAGAAATCGATGAGTGTTGTGGAAGGATCAATGGAAGATAGCTCAAGCTCAAATCTTTGTCCATTGATGGCGAAAACAAGACAAGTCTTACTACTCTTCATAGCTCCTTCTTCTTTTTCGATCACTTTCTCACTCATTGATTTTCTCGCTACTTTCAGAACAGACCAAAAGTTTACCTCCCCGACATCGATTCTCGGTATAACTGACGAAAGTCTTTATTATTCCTCTCTTTACGAGAAGAATACGCCGTAAGACTCATTGTCTTCAGTATCTTTTATGAGTATATTTTTTACAATTTTGGCGTTTTGGTGACGTGTTTGATTTGGTAGGTTGATAAATCATGCCACCAACTCAATAATTTATTATATTTAGGGTTTTATCATATTTATTTGGTTTGTGTGTTGATTAAAGAACCTTTAGTCTACTCAACTTGCAGCCGACAAAAACAATACAAAAAAAAAAAAGACTAATCAACTTGTATATTCTTGTAGTCTACAAATTGTTTACTATGGATGTGAATGAAAAGCCTTGTTAAGCTACTTTTTTCCAATCAATGGATTTTACTCTCAATTAAGCTACTTTTTTCCAATCAAGAATTTATAGAGTAAATGTTATCCCATCATTTCCCTTCATTTTTCAGAATAAATCTTACCTCCTATATATATTGAGGTGGAACTTATTTTCCATCAACTACTCTATTTTTTTATTTTCTTTCTCTCCTACATTAATTACTCTCATTTCCACTTTTTTACTCTAATAACAACCATTCATATATTTGAATTGACAAGATTTCAGTATGAATGATCAGTGGAAAAAAATTTAACACTGAATTTTTTCTTTATTTCAAAGAGTCAGTCCATACTAATTTTATCAAAATTTATATCGGATAAAGATAATCGAAACAATTCTGAACATATCAATAGAAGATATGATAATGAACCAACAACCAAAAAAAATATAAAAGAAAAAACACAACTAGATCTTTGCTAAAAACATACCACAATTCAATAAAAAAGTAAAAGATAATAGATCATCAAATTTGTTTATTTCATCAACACTAAGATAAAAAAAAAAAAAAGTACACATCACAAAATAATCAGCTTTTCATCGACTAAAAGTCCTAGTTTTGCATCGCATATTTGAACGTTAAATATTAAATAATCAGCTTTTCAACTTTATTGAAAAAAATAGTGTGGGGAAAAGTATGGTGGATTTAAATATGTGAAAATTGTAAAAAAGCCACACGATTATAGATCCACGAAAATCTCTTCTGATTGTCTAACTTTCTTAGAAAATTAATATATTTTATTTAATATATATAATTTTTATTACAATAATATGAAAACAATAGAAACACAACTTATTGAAAATACCATAAAATTAGAATTAATTTAGAAAAAATATATTTATGATTGAATTGATTATCTCAAATGAAGAAGTATCTATCTATACTTATAAATGAGAAGTCGCACATTCTAGGTGACGTCTCGAGAGCGAGTTTAAAATTTGGTCTGCCGATAATACCCTTAATGAATTCTATAATTACAATCGTATGGTGAGTTTATAAATAGGAAGTCGAAAATCCTAGGTGGCGGCTCTACGGTAAGTTTAAGACTTGGTCTACCGAAAATATCCGTAATGAATCGATATATTACACTCCTTGCCATCAAATAATTTTGGGCCAAAATACATTTATTCGTTTGGTTATTCTCTTATTGGTAATGAGTATTGATATGATATTTCTCTTGATCCATAAAGAACTTATTATTGGTGTAACCCTAGCTCTATAAAAAAACTATATATATATATCGATCTTATCCACCTCCTTTTCATAAAATTTAAAATCCTTTTTTAACGTTTAATATCAGTTCTTCTTTGTTCATTGTTTTGTTTTATATTATTGCTCCTTTATATTCTGATCGATTTTGATATATATTTTTCAGTTTTATTTTTGTTTCGTTTTTGTAGGTGTTTTCCTTAATATCTTCGTATATATATAGATGTGTTATGTGGCTTCATAATAATTTTGGGTTTGGTATTATGCTAATGATTGTGATCACCCTTTTACTAATGATTTGTTTGTTTTTTGTCTTTTTTCTTATATGTAGGTACATCGCAAATCATGGGATGCAAATATATTATCTTGGATGCATATAACTGGTTCAAAAATCGCTTGCATGATTTTTGAATTCGTTTTTACATGTTCATCATATATATAACTAGGGATTGCCCACGCATTGCGTGGGAT